TGACCTCATGATCCACCCGCCTCGGCCTCCCAAAGCACTGGGATTACAGGCTTGAGCCACCGCGTCCGGCCCGTTTTTTTTTTTGTATCTTTAATAGAGACGGGGTTTCACCATGTTGGCCAGGTTGGTCTCCATCTCCTGACCTTGTGATCCTGCCCTCCTCAGCCTCCCAAAGTGCTGGAATTACAGGCGTGAGCCACTGTGCCCAGCCTGTTTTTGTTTGAGATGGAGTCTTGCTCTGTTGCCCAGGCTGGAGTGCAGTGGCGCAGTCTTTGCTCGCTGCAGTCTCAGCCTCCCGGGTTCAAGCAAGTCTCCTGCCTGAGCCTCCAAGCATGTAGCTGGGACCACAAATGTGTGCATACCACCACACCTGGCTAATTTTTGTATTTTTAGTAGAGACGGAGTTTCACCATCTTGGCCAGGCTGGTCTTGAACTCCTGACCTCAAGTAATCTGCCCCTCTTGGCCTCCCAGAGTGCTAGGATTACAGGCATGAACTACCATGCCTGGCCTCATGCAGAAGTTTGATAACTGGCAAAAGGAGGATTCAGTGTTAGACTAGAAATTAGATGAGCTGACACCCAGGAGCCTATGGTTCCCTGACCATTAAAACCAGTGGAAATGAGAAAGAATTTATTGATCATATCTCTACAAATTAGCATAAACTGTGCCTAGCATTCAGCAGATAAACTAAGGCCACAGGCCCAGCACTAGTGGCTCACGCCTGTAATCTCAACACTTTCGGAGGCCGAGCCAGGCAGATCACTTGAGGTCAGGAGTTCAAGACCAGCCTGACCAACATGGTGAAACCCTGTCTGTACAAAAATACAAAAATTAGCTAGGTGTGGTAGCTCGAGCCTGTAATCCCAGCTGTTTGGGAGGCTGAGGCAGGAGAATTGCTTGAACCTGGGAGGCAGAGGTTGCAGTGAGCTGAGATCACACCACTGCACTGCAGCCTGGGCAATAGAGGGAGACTCTGTCTACAAAAAAAAAAAAAAAAAAAAAAAAAAAAGGCTATAGTGGCCGTAATTGTGATAGCTACTACTTTACAGATTTTGCAGGCTGGGCCTGATGGCTCATGCCTGAAAGCCTCAGCACTTTGGGAGGCCAAGGCAGGTGGATCACTGGAGCCCAGGAATTTGAGACCAGCCTGGGCAACAGGGTGAAACGTCATCTTCACAAAACATACAAAATTAGCCATGCGTGATAGTACATGCCTGTAATTCCAGCTACTTGGGATTGAGAGAGGTTGAGGCTGCAGTGAGTCATGATAGTGCCACTGCACTCCAGCCTCAGTGACAGGGAGACCTTGTGTCACACACACACACACAATCTTGCAAATACCTGACTGCCACCTGCAAAAAAGAATGTACTTTATGCTGGATATTGATAGCAAATGCTTGCTCCTCAGGAGAATCTCACCAGCAACAGAGCCTCTTTAGTTAAGTAGTACATGTGACCACAATCTGATCAATACAATGGTTCCTGTCTTACCCAGAATGTCTGAGAGTTATCTACATCATAAAATGTCTATATATATATACCATTTATTTATTTATTTTTATTTATTTATTTTTTTTCGAGATGGAGTTTCGCTCTTGTTACCTAGGCTGGAGTGCAATGGCTCGATCTCGGCTCACCGCAACCTCTGCCCCCTGGGTTCAGGCAATTCTCCTGCCTCAGCCTCCTGAGTAGCTGGGATTACAGGCACGTGCCACCATGCCCAGCTAATTTTTTGTATTTTTGGTAGAGACGGGGTTTCACCATGTTGACCAGGATGGCCTCGCTCTCTTGACCTCGTGATCCACCCGCCTTGGCCTCCCAAAGTGCTGGGATTACAGGCTTGAGCCACCGCGCCCAGCCCTATTTTTAATCTTTTTATTTTTTATTTTTTAAAGATGGGGTTTCACCATGATGGCCAGGCTGGTCTTGAACTCCTGACCTCAGATGATCCACCCACCTCGGCCTCCCTAAGTGCTAGGATTACAGGCGTGAGCCACAGCACCAGGCTTTTTTTTTTTTTTTTTTTTTTTTTTTTTTTTTTTTTTTTTCTTAAAGATGGGGTTTCACCATGATGGCCAGGCTGGTCTTGAATGGTCTTGAATTCCTGACCTCAGGTGATCCACCCACCTCAGCCTCCCAAAGTGCTAGGATTACAGGCATGAGCCACCGCGCCCAGCGATATAGACCATTTATTATGCCTTGAGTTTAGAAACTGATGTTCTGAAACAACTAGTTTTTGGATTTTTTGTTTTTGTTTTTTGCTTTGTGTTTCTGTTGAAATCAAGATATACAGACTGTCAAATCCACCCTTTTAAGGGCAACTGATTCATAAAGGCATTTTGATTTGATATTTACTCTAGGGAAGATTTTTTTTTTTTTTTTGGTACAGAGTTTTGTTTTTGTTGCCCAGGCTGGAGTGCGATGGTGCCATCTCAGCTCACCACAACCTCTGACTCCCTGTTTCAAGTGATTCTCCTGCTTCAGCCTCCTGAGTAGCTGGGATTTTGGGCACCCACCACCACGCCCGGCTAATTTTGTATTTTTAGTAGAGACGGGATTTCTCTATGTTGGTCAGGCTGCTCTTGAACTCCCAACCTCAAGTGGAGTTCAACCTCCACTCGCCTTGGCCTCCCAAAGTGCTGGGATCACAGGCGTGAGCCACTGCGCCCTGAGTAGGGAAAACTTTTGAATCCACCCAGCTAGAATATTGTATTCATTTCTATCTTGCTTGTTTCATCAAGGAATTAAGGCAATAATGTATTTGCATAAATAAAATTAGAAGCCATTTGAAAGATAAATTAGAAGGTTATTTCAACACAAAGAATGTGAAAGAATGTAGAATTTGCTCAGCAGAAAAATGTTCACCATCTTTGGCTTCCCACATGTCCTAGTTAAGGAGCTTTCTTTAGCCACGTGGCAGCTCACCTTTTCCTGTAACTCAAAAATAGTCACTTGCTGGTAAGGGTTCACAGTGCTGAATATGACACAGACTCAACAAGAGAGAATGAAAATTCAGACTATTTACTTGTGATTTTCTCCCTTTTCTGGTTTCCTTCCTGCTTTATTTGCACTCATGTCCTTATTTAACAAGGAAAGGTTTGTAGGGAACCTTGAGGCCCTCCTCTAGCACAGGTCGGGCCAGCCACCACACATTCCTAGAGTTCTTTTTTTGCCCCATCCCACGATGGCACCCCAAACTCCCATTTCTTTGCTATCTCCACTGTCAGTAACCACCTGGGTGACCTTAGGTGAGTAATCGGCCTCATTACACTTTTCAAGAGGGAGTTGGACTACGTGAACGGTAAGATCCTCTCATCCGGAGTTTCTTGCTTCAGGTTTTGCAAGCACCCGTCATTGCCACACCACCTCAGACCCTCAGCCTCCCGCCACTGATCAGCCACCACGGGCCTTAGTGTGTTCTGCCTTTCAGTTTCAGAGAACTCAATTCAGATCTACGACTTGTAGCCAAAAATGTCAAATAATCAATACAGTATCTGCAACAAAAGGTCTTTCAATGGGGAAGGCAGAGGTAACAAGGGAACAAAGCCAAATACACAAAAGGACAAAAAAAAAAAAAAAAGAAAACAACTTCTACTTCTTGGTTAACTACCTTCAACTTTTTATTATTATTATTTTATAGAGAAAGAGGTCTCACTATGTTGCCCAGGCTCGTCTGTAACTCCTAGCCACAAGGGATTCTCTTACCTCAGACCCCCACAGTACTGGAAGAACAGGCATAAGCCATTTAACAGCCCTTCAAACAATGTTGTTGTTGTTGTTGTTGTTTTTTGAAATGGAGTCTCACTCTTGTTACCCAGGCTGAAGTGCAATGGCACCATCTCAGCTTACTGCCACCTCTGCCTCCTGGGTTCAAGCAATTCTTCTGCCTCAGCCTCCCGAGTAGCTGGGATTACAGACACCCACCACCACGCCCAGCTAATTTTTTGTGTTTTTAATAGAGACGAGGTTTCACCATGTTGGCCAGGTTGGTCTCAAACTCCTGACCTCAGGTAATCTGCCCACCAAAGTGTTGGGATTACAGGCGTGAGCCACCATGCCTGGCCCAAACGATGTTTTTAAGCAGCATAGCAGGCACAGTGTTTGCAGTCACAACGCAGGCTCAAATGCTGGCTTGCCCCTTAACTAGCCTCTGTGACCTTGAACAAGTTAAACTTTGATTTCTGAGTCTCAAGTTTATGAACAACAACAAAATAGGAGGTGGACCTAATACATCCTAACGTTATTGAGGATTAAATGAGTATTTATATGAAATGTCTGATATAGCCCAGAAGACAGGCGCTCAACCGCAATAATAAATCATAATTTTGTAAGCTTCCCTAATTTGTATACTTTTCCTAAGTAAAGTCTACATCGCCATCACCCTCTGCCTGTCTCGCTTTTTTCCTCATAAGCAACCTGACCCCTATCCCTACCCCAAGTATATATGTGAGATTCCAAAAGAACGGAAGGACAGGAATGAAGGCATGCAGGTTTTTAGAAGAAACCAGCCAACACCAGTTTAAAGAGATACTTTCACTGCTAGCTTTATGTTCCAGAACATAGAGTGAAAAGTGATGACACCTCAGGAAAATTCCCAGTGCCCTTGGAGAGAGCTGACATATGCTCTGCCCTGTAAAGTCCTGCTTATCTGGCTGGGCAAAGAAAAGGGTAGGAGGCTGGGTGCAGTGGCTCATGCCTATAATCCCAGCACTTTGGAGGGCCAAGGTGGGTGGATCACCTGAGGTCAGGAGTTCGAGACCAGCCTGGCCAACCTGGAGAAACCCCGTCTCTACTAAAAATACAAAAATTAGCTGGGTGTGGTGGCACTCGCCTATAATCTCAGCTACTCGGGAGGCTGAGGCAGGAGGATCTCTTGAACCTGGAAAGCAGAAGTTGCAAGTGAGCCAGGATTGTGCCATTTCACTCCAGCCTGGGTCAAAAAGCAAGACTGTCTCAAAAAAAAAAAAAAAAAAAAAAAAAGAAAAGAAAAGAAAAGAAAGAAAAGAAAAGGTAGGAACTTTCAGCCTGGGCAGAACCTTTATTCTTGTTACCCAGCAGGGGTGATGAGATATGCCACCAACCTTCTGTGCTGCCATCTAAGGATGGTAAGAGCAAACCCAGCATCAGCTCATGCTCCCTTAGATGTTAGTTTTTGGGGCCAGGTACAAAATCTTTAGGTGGCCCCCCACCACTGCTGCTCTGTCTGTCTGCTGTTGGGGAGCCAGGGAGGGGCTGCACCCCTAGGAGGGGTCCAGCTTCTGGATCCGGTTTGCTGCGTTTGGCCAGGTCCTCATTGTGAGCTTTGCGGATGTGGCGGTAGAGGTCCCCTGACTGTGTGTAGCTGCGCAGGCAATAGCGGCACTCGTAGGGTCGCTCACGTGTGTGCACCGTGGCATGTCGCCGTAGTGTGTAAGAGCATGAGAAGGTCTTCCCACATGTCTTGCAGGTGGGAACATCCTCAGTAAAAACCCCAAAGCTTCCTGGAGCTGCTTCATACTCAGAAGCCAGGTAAAGTGGCTCATGCAGGGATGCAGGTGCAGGCAGGGGTGAGGTCACCAGTCCTCGATGATACTGCCCTGCACCTGGCAGCAGATGGTAGGGTAGATGAGGATCTGGAGGCAGGAAGTGGTCACTTGGTCCCCCCCTCCTCCAGTCCTGCTGCCCCTGGCTCTTCAAAAGCCTCTGGCTGGGAGGCCTGTCCCCCATACACTGCTCCTCCAGGTGAGAACACTCCCTCGGGACCCTGAGGCTGTTCATCTGACACATCTGTCTCTTCATCGGAGATCACAATAGCTTCAACTTTCACCTGGACCAGCTCAGCCTCAGCTGGGGCTGGAGCCTGGGATGGAACTGGGGCTGAGGCTGAGGCTGGGGCTGAAGCTGGGGGATAGAAGCCTTGCAGTGGTCCTCCAGGATCCCTTGATTCCACCACCCTCAGACTCTCAGGAGCCACATCAAGAGATGTCAGTGGCTCCAATGAAACTGCTGGGAGGCCAGAAGAGAAGTAGTTTGCCGGAATGGTCTCAGTGGAGCTACTAGGGCTGGCAAGAGAGACATCAGCCACCGCTTGGGGATGTGCCCGTAGATGTGGTGCATCAACCTCCATGCCAGGCTGTGTAGTGTCAGCCCCACTGGACATTGGTGGCTCATCTGGAGGACGGACAGTAGGTGATGAAGCAGCAGAGCCTCTCCATTCTCCTTTGCCCCAGTGGCCTGATGTCTCACCAGATGCCAACAAGGGCTGGGGGCCACGAGAAGTACTGGACAAAAACTCTAAAGTAGGAGGCTGTGAGTTAGTTTCCTCCTCCTTCTTGGTACTGTCTGCTTCTGCCAGGGCCCGGGCTTGAAGCCGCCGCTTACACACCTTGACGATGTCATTCATGTGCAAGTAGCTGGCAGCTGCGAGCACATCCTCCACAGGGGTATCCCCTCTCAGGGCCAGCTGGCCAGCATACATAAAGTCCAGAAGCAGCCCAAAGGCTGGGGCTGTGACAATTTCATTGTGAATACACACCAGATCCCTCTTGTCCAATTCCCGCTCCTTGTAGAAAAGCTGGAAGAATGGGCTGCAGGAAGCCAGCACAGCCCGATGGGCCAAGAACTGGGTACTACCCACCATCACAGTGCAGTCACAAAGGAAACCCTGGGACCGCTGTTCCCGGAGGCTCTGCAGCAGCTGCTGACTGTGTTCTGGGAACTCCATAGTACCCCACGAAGGAGAGGGGGTCCAAAAAAGGTCCCCACCAGTGGCTCCCTGGGAAAAAACGACAGTGGGTTAAGGCAGGTAACCGCCCCAGCAACCGTAACATCAGCCCTTAAGTATCACTTGCATCCCCAAGGCAATCGCTTAAGTTACTGCCCTTCTTTCTCCTAGGTCACACCCAAAGCTCTCCCATTAGCTCCGCCTCCCCGCCTAACCTTAGAACAGGCCCCGCCCCGCCCGATTAGCCCTGCCCCCGGAAGTCCCGCCCCTTGGCCACCCTCCGCTTCCTTGATGCCCACCCGGTAGCTTCCAACGTCTCCACGAAGTAGGGGTCTTTTCCGCTCCCAGGCCTTCCCAGGCGATGCCTCTACGCCCCACTTCGGGAACTCCCTAAGCATCTCCCTCACGCATTCCAGGGGCTAAGGACTCCCAGAGTGAGAACTAGCAGAGAAAGCTGATCCCTCACCCACCACCGAGCAGCCACCGAGAGAGCTCCTCCCCTTCCCACCTTCTCAGTTTTAATTGGCTTAAAATCGCCCTCCCCTGTCACGGATTGGTCCGCTGTCCACTAACTGTCGTAACCCCACCGCAGTCTCCAATTGGGTGCTCGCCGCCATCGCTTTTACAGTCAGGCGCCGCATTGGGTGGCGCTCCTGTCCTCAACTTTTCCTCCTCGTCCCGCCTTCCTTGCCTCCGAACTCTCAGAATTGGCTGAGCTTCTCCTTCTGCCTAATTCCGCAGGCAGGAGGTACTGGCTACAAGTGGCTGAACGCTGCGCCCTCCTGGCAAGGCCGGAGATCCGGAACTGTGCCCTGTCGGACCTGAGCTGACAGCTGCTGTAGGATGACCGGGTAAAAGAGAACCAACTAGGCCCGGCGCAGTGCCTCACGCCTGTAATCCCAGGGCTTTGGGAGGCGGAGGCGGGCGGATTACTTGGGGTCAGGACTTCAAGACCAGCATGGCCAACATGGTGAAACATCGTCTACTAAAAATACAAAAATTAGCCGGCATAGTGGCGCGCGCCTGTAATCCCAGCTATTGGGGAGGCTGAGGCAGGAGAATCACTTGAACCCAGGAGGCAGAGGTTGCAGTGAGTCACAATCGTTCCACTGCACTGCAGCCTGGGCGACAGAACGAGACCCTGTCCCCTCTACGTCCCCCGGCCCATCAAAAAAAGAACCAACCGGTGACTGTGGCCTATAGCCACAAGTCCCTGAACTGCATTTGTCTCTTAAAGGTCCCTTCCTCTCAAAAAATTCCAAGATTGGCCGGGTGCAGTGGCTCACGCCTTTAATCCCAGCATTTTGGGAGGCCGAGGCGGGCAGATCACTTGAGGTCAGGAGTTCAAGGCCAGCCTGGCCAACATAGTGAAGCCCCCATCTCTACTAAGAATACAAAAATCGGCTGGGCATGGTGGTGCGTGCCTGTAATCCCAGCTACTCGGGAGGCTGAGGCAAGAGTTCAAAACTCTTGAATCTAGGAGTCACATGTTGGAGTGAGCCGAGATCGCGCCACTGCATTCCAGCCAATTTTTTGTATTTTTTTTTTTTTTTTTTTTTTTTTTGAGACGGAGTTTCGCTCTTGTTGCCCAGGCTGGAGTGCAATGGCGCGATCTCGGCTCACCGCAACCTCCGCCTCCTGGGTTCAGGCAATTCTCCTGCCTCAGCCTCCTGAGTAGCTGAGATTACAGGCACGTGCCACCATGCCCAGCTAATTTTTTGTATTTTTAGAAAGACGGGGTTTCACCATGTTGACCAGGACGGTCTCGATCTCTTGACCTCGTGATCCACCCGCCTTGGCCTCCCAAAGTGCTGGGATTACAGGCTTGAGCCACCGCGCCCAGCTATTATTATTTTTTTTTTTTTGAGACGAAGTTTCGCTCTTGTTACCCAGGCTGGAGTGCAATGGCACGATCTCGGCTCACCGAAACCTCCGCCTCCTGGGTTCAGGCAATTCTCCTGCCTCAGCCTCCTGAGTAGCTGGGATTACAGGCAGGCTCCACCATGCCCAGCTAATTTTTTGTATTTTTAGTAGAGACGGCATTTCACCATGTTGACCAGGATGTTCTTGATCTCTTGACCTCGTGATCCACCTGCCTCGGCCTCCCAAAGTGCTGGGATTACAGGCTTGAGCCACTGCGCCCAGCCGGACACAGGACTTTTTAATCAGGATTACATTTTTTTTATTTTTCCTTCTTTCCTCTTTTTTTTTTTTTTTTTTTTTTTTTAAAAAGATGGGGTTTCACCATGATGGCCAGGCGGGTCTTGAACTCCTGACCTCAGATAATCCACCCTCCTTGGCCTCCCAAAGTGCTAGGATTCTAGGCGTGAGCCACTGCTGGCCAGGATTACATTTTTCATAGAAGATTGGTACATAGTTGCAGCAATTTGGTTGGCTATAGACAATATTTCTTTCTTTTTTTTTTTTTGAGACGGAGTTTCACTCTTGTTACCCAGGCTGGAGTGCAATGGCACGATATCGGCTCACCGCAACCTCCGCTTCCTGGGTTCAGGCAATTCTCCTGCCTCAGCCTCCTGAGTAGCTGGGATTACAGGCACGCGCCACCATGCCCAGCTAATTTTTTGTATTTTTAGTAGAGACGGGGTTTCACCGTGTTGACCAGGATGGTCTCGATCTCCTGACCTCGTGATCCACTCGCCTCAGCCTCCCAAAGCGCTGGGATTACAGGCTTGAGCCACCGTGCCTGGCCTTTTTTCTTTTTTATTATTATTATTTTTTCTTTTGAGATGAAGTCTCACTCTGTCTCACAGGCTGGAGTACAGTGGTGCGATCTCAGCTCATTGCAACCTCCACCTACTAGGTTCAAGCGATTTTCCTGCCTCAGCCTCCCGAGTAGCCGGGACTGCAGGCACACACCGCCACGCCTGGCTAATTTTTTGTATTTTAGTGGAGACAAAGTTTCACTGTGTTAGCCAGGATGGTCTTGATCACCTGACCACGTGATCCACCTGCCTCGGCCTCCCAAAGTGTTGGGATTACAGGCATGCACTACCATGCCCGGCCATATTTTTTTGAGATGGAGTCTCACTCAGTTGCCCAGGCTGGAGTGCAGTGGTACAATCTCAGCTCACTGCATCCTCCACCTCTCGGGTTCAAGTGATTCTCCTGCCCCAGCCTCCCAAGTAGCTAGGATTATAGGCACGTGCCACCATGCCCAGCTAATTTTTGTATTTTTATTAGAGATGGAATTTCACCATATTGGCCAGGGTGGTTTCAAACTCCTGACCTCGTAATTTTCCCACCTCGGCCTCCCAAAGTGCCAGGATTACAGGCCTGAGTCACTTTGCCTGGCCAGAAGAGTATATGATCTTTAGATTGTATGATCAGGAAAGGCCCAACTAGGAAGTGATATATAACTGAAATGTGAATTACAATAAAGAGCAATGCAGGCAAACATCTGGGAGGGGCAGCTTGCTTCTGTAATCCCAGCACTTTGGGAGGCTGAAGGAGAAGGATAATTTGAGGCCAGGAGTTGGAGACCAGCCTGGGCAACATAGGGAGACTCCACTTCTAGGAGAAAAAAAAAAAGCCAGGTGTGGTGGCTCACCTCTGTAATCCTAGCACTTTGAGAGGCTGAGGTGGGAGGATCACGAGGTCAGGAGTTTGAGACCACTCTGGCCAATATGGTGAAATGCCATCTCTAGTAAAAATACAAAAATTAGCCAGGCATGGTGGTGCATGCCTGGAGTCCCAGCTACTCCAGAGCCCAAGGCAAAAAAATCACTTGAACCTGGGAGGTGGAAGTTGCAGTGAGCCAAGATCACACCACTGCACTACAGCCTGGATGACAGACAGAGACTCCGGCAAAAAAAAAAAAAAAAAAAAAAAAAGAAAAAGGCCGGGCATGGTGGCTCAAGCCTGTAATCCCAGCACTTTGGGAGGCCGAGGCGGGTGGATCACGAGGTCAAGAGATCGAGACCATCCTGGTCAACATGGTGAAACCCCGTCTCTACTAAAAATACAAAAAAATTAGCTGGGCATGGTGGCTCGTGCCTGTAATCCCAGCTACTCAGGAGGCTGAGGCAGGAGAATTGCCTGAACCCAGGAGACGGAGGTTGCGGTGAGCCGAGATCGCGCCATTGCACTCCAGCCTGGGTAACAAGAGCGAAACTCCATCTCAAAAAAAAAAAAAAAAAAAAAAAAAAATGCCTGACTGGTGGCACTAATGCAGTCCTAGCTAGTTACTCAGGAGACTGAGGTGGGAGGATCTCTTGAGGCTGCAGTGAGTTATGATCACCACTGCATTCCAGCTTAGGCAATAGAGCAAGGCACTGTCTCTTACAATGAGTCAGACGAGAGAGAGCTCACTTACAAAGAGATAGAGGAGAGAGAGAGAGAGAGAGAGAGAGAGAGAGAGTGTGTGTGTGTGTGTGTGTGTGTGTGTGTGTGTGTGAGACTCTGTTACCAAGGCTGGTCATGAACCCTGGCCTCAAGAGATCCTTCTGTGTTAGCGGAGATCCTTTCTCTTAGAAAAGAGAAAAGAGGCCGGGCGCGGTGGCTCAAGCCTGTAATCCCAGCACTTTGGGAGGCCGAGGCGGGTGGATCACGAGGTCAAGAGATCGAGACCATCCTGGTCAACATGGTGAAACCCCGTCTCTACTAAAAATACAAAAAATTAGCTGGGCATGGTGGCGTGTGCCTGTAATCCCAGCTACTCAGGAGGCTGAGGCAGGCGAATTGCCTGAAACCAGGAGGCAGAGGTTGTGGTGAGCCGAGATCACGCCATTGCACTCCAGCCTGGGTAACAAGAGCTAAACTCCGTTTAAAAACAAAAAAAAAACAGAGAAAAGAAAGACAAAGGTCTGGCGTGGTGGCTCATGCCTGTAATTCAAACATCTTGGGAGGCTGAAGTGGGAGGATTACTTGAGCTCAGGAGTTGGAGACCAGCCTGGGCAACACAGAGAGACCCTGTCTGTGCAAAAAAAAATTTAAAAATTAGCCGGGCGTGGTGGCGCGCGCTTGCTGCCCCAACTACTTGGGAGGCTGAGGTGGGAGGATCGCTTGGGGCCACGAGTTGGAGGCTCCAGTGAGCTATGATCCGGCTAGTGCACTCCAGCCTGGACAACAGAGACTGTCTCTCTGCCCAGGGCAGTGAAGTACTTGGGCCTCTAACAAACATGTGTAGATATATATTTGCTGAATCGATTTGCTGCACTCAGTTATAGCGCTTGACTTATGGATTCGTTCACTAATTAATTAATCTCGTTATAAGTATTTACTGAGCAGTTGTTACAGGCTGTGCATTAACAGAGTTGCTTTTTGAGGTCCAGGTTGGGTGGACGAGGGGCGTGGCTTTAGTGGTTCCCGCCCACAACAGCGAGACCCAATCAGACCCGCGAAGGAGGTGGAGTTCCGCCCTGTTTGTCGCGGCCGGCCCGGAACTCGGGTTGCGGAGGTTATCTGTGCTTCCGGTGGATTCCCGGGCTGCCGGAGGTGTGGACTTAGCCTCCCAGAGGCTCTGGGAAGATGTTCTACCATGTGAGCAGGGCTCAGGGTGGCAGCAAGGGTTGGGTGGGAAGGAGGAGCAAAGCCAGGCGCCAGCGCGAGGGGCCCCTTCTTGCCCGATAACCTCCCAGCGCCTGGCCTGGTCGCCATCCCACTTTTCTCCGCAGATCTCCCTAGAGCACGAAATCCTGCTGCACCCGCGCTACTTCGGCCCCAACTTGCTCAACACGGTGAAGCAGAAGCTCTTCACCGAGGTGGAGGGGACCTGCACCGGGAAGTGAGTGCCGACCTCACCGCGCAGCCAGATCGCGCACACGGGGCGCTATACCTGCAACCCCTCCCCAGCTCCTGCTCGTACTGCCACCCACTCTGGGGGCCTCTCTCACTCCCTCAGGCTGCCAGTTGCTTCCTGCTTTGGGTTCCTACGAGGCCCTCTGCAATGCTGGCCGATAAGACTTTCTTCCCTCAGTTGAAATTGGTCATTCATTTACTCAAACATGTTTAAAAGTCTTTGCTGTGTGCCAGGACCCGTGTTGGGCTTTGAGAACAAGATAGAATGAGACCAGCCCTTGTGGAGCCCACAGTGTAATTACTGTTCTGTGTCTGCTCTCCCTCTGTCATTCTGCTGGTTTTCTCTTATCCCCTGTGCCCAGGGACCACACGCCATAGGCCTCGATATATATTCTGAATGAATGACCAGAAAAAGCAGATCGAGAGTTGGAGGAAGGAAGAAGCCTGGGACTTGAACATCTCTGGGCTTTGCGCAGAGAGGCCTCTCACAGGGTGGTATTAACGACCCAGCCCAGGGCAGTGGAGTTACTTGGGCCTCCAGCATCGGAAAAACCTGGGGAGGTTCTTGAACATGCACATTTCTGAGCCTCATTGTTCCCTACGGAATCAAGATTCTCTGGGGCAGACCTGAGAATCTCCTTTTTTTTTTTTTTCCTTTTTCTTTTTCTTTGAGATGGAAATCTCACTCTCACCCAGGCTGGAGTCCAGTGGCACGATCTCAGTTCATTGCAACCTCTGCCTCCCGGGTTCAAACCATTCTGCCTCAGCCTCCCAAGTAGCTGGGATTACAGATGTGCATAACCACATCCAGCTAATTTTTGTATTTTTAGTAGAGATGGGGTTTCTCCATGTTGGCCAGGCTGGTCTCAATCTCGCCTCAGGTGATCCACCTGTCTCGGCCTCCCAAAGTACTGGGGTTACAGGCATGAGCCACCGTGCCAGGCCAGAGTCTGCATTTTAATAAGATGATTCTCAGGCATCCCAAAGATTGACACCTGTTGGCTCAAGGACTCCAGCCTTCTTGGGCATTTATTGTGAAATTACCAGAGCAGCATTTTGCCTTATACATAAGTGATCTGTGTTCCATCTTCTTTTGGTCATTAAGCTCTGGGAACTGAGGTGCTATCAGCTTGTCCGTTTGTTCTCCCCACCCGACTCCCAAAAGCTCAGTGACTTTTATTGCAGAATCGTTAGAGCCTCTTGGACACAAAATGCCTTTTGTTTCTCCTCTTCCTTGCAGGTATGGCTTTGTAATCGCTGTAACCACCATTGACAATATCGGTGCTGGGGTGATCCAGCCAGGCCGAGGCTTCGTCCTTTATCCAGTTAAGTACAAGGCCATTGTTTTCCGGCCCTTTAAAGGAGAAGTCGTGGATGCTGTTGTCACTCAGGTCAACAAGGTGAGACCATACATAGGGGAGCCAGTGGGGTAGTCTCTTGGAAGATGTCGGTTGGGTCCTGGCTCCACTTGATAACTCTGTGCCTTCAGCTAAGTCACTTTTTGTTTTTTGGGTTTTTTTTGAGACGGAGTTTCGCTCTTGTTACCCAGGCTGGAGTGCAATGGTGCGATCTCGGCTCACCGCAACCTCCGCCTCCTGGGTTCAGGCAATTCTCCTGCCTCAGCCTCCTGAGTAGCTGGGATTACAGGCATGTGCCACCATGTCCAGCAATTTTTTTGTATTTTTAGTAGAGATGGGGTTTCACAATGTTGACCAGGTTGGTCTTGATCTGTGGACCTCGTGATCCACCCACCTCGGCCTCCCAAAGTGCTGGGATTACAGGCTTGAGCTTTTTTTTTTTTTTTTTTTTGAGACGTAGTCTTGCTCTGTTGCCCAGGCTGGAGTTCACTGGCTCAATCTCGGCTCACTGCAACCTATACCTTCAGGGTTCAAGCAATTCTTCTGCCTCAGCCTCCCGAGTAGCTGGGATTACAGGCATGTGCCACCATGCCCAGCTAATTTTTTGTATTTTTAGTAGAGATGGGGTTTCATCATGGATCTCTTTACCTCATGATCCGCCCGCCTTGGCCTCCCAAAGTGCTGGAATTCAAGGCATCAGCCACTGCGCCCGTCCCAGCTCTTTACTACTTTAAAATGAAAGTTTAGGCCCGGTGCTGGTACCTCACACCTGTAATTCCAGCACTTTGGGAGGCTGAGGCAGGCACATCACCTGATGTCGGGGGTCCATGACCAGCCTGGTCAATATGGTGAAACCCTGTCTCTACTAAAAATTCAAAAATTAGCCAGGCATCACATGGTGTGTGTGTGTGTATAGTCCTAGCTACTTGGGAGGCTGAGGCATGAGAATCACTTGAACCTGGGAGGTGGAGGTTGCAGTGAGCTGAGACTGTACCACTGCACTCCAGACTGGATAACAGCGAGATTTTGTCTCAAAGTAAATACATAAATAAATACAAATGAATGTCTAAGAAAAACAGAAGAGGGCTGGGTGCATTGGCTCATACTTATAATCCCAGTGCTTTGGGAGGCAGAAGTGAGAAGATTGCTTGAGCCCAGGAGTTTGAGACCAATCTGGGCAACATAGCAAGACTCTGTCTCTACGAGAAGTTTTTAAAAATTAGTGTAGCATGGTGGTGTGCACCTGTAGTCTTTTTTTTCTTTTTTTTTTTGAGACGGAGTTTCGCTCTTGTTACCCAGGCTGGAGTGCAATGGCGCGATCTCGGCTCACCGCAACCTCCGCCTCCTGGGTTCGGGCAATTTTCCTGCCTCAGCTTCCTGAGTAGCTGGGATTACAGGCACATGCCACCATGCCCAGCTCATTTTTTGTATTTTTAGTAGAGATGGGGTTTCACCGTGTTGACCAGGACGGTCTCGATCTTTTGACCTCGTGATCCACCTGCCTAGGCCTCCCAAAGTGCTGGGATTACAGGCTTGAGCCACCGCATCCGGCCGCACCTGTAGTCTTAGCTACTCGGGAGGCTGAGGTGGGAGGATCGCTTGAGCCTGGGAGTTCAAGGTTACAGTGAGTTGTGATCGCACCACTGCTTTCCAGCCTTGGCAACAGAGTGAGACACTATCTCAAAATTTAAAAAGCAAAAAACAAAAACACAACACTTTAAGTAGCAAAAAAAAAAAAAGCAAGATCACTCATTTTTTTTCTAGGTTGGACTCTTCACAGAAATTGGGCCTATGTCTTGCTTCATCTCTCGACATGTAAGTCTAGGCACACTGGGTGGGGCTGAGGAAGAGAGATGCCCATTCATTACCATCTACTGATGCATCTATTGAAAGTGCTAACCCCGTCTCACTTTCCTTTCAGTCCATCCCTTCAGAGATGGAGTTTGATCCTAACTCCAACCCACCATGTTACAAGACAATGGATGAGGTAAGTGGGCAGAAAGAAGCCGGGGGGAGGAGAGAATCAGGCATCCTGAGTATTGGCCTGGGGATGACTCAGTACAGGTGGTCCCCAAATTACCATGGCTTAACTTATCATTTTCTGACTTTACAATGGTGCGAAAGTGCTGTGCATTTGGTATGCCCCCAGACTTACAGTGGAGTCGTTGTGATGTAACCTATCATAAATTGAGGAGCATCTGTATACTGTTCCTCCTCTCCCCAGGATATTGTGATTCAGCAGGACGATGAGATCCGCTTAAAGATTGTGGGGACCCGTGTGGACAAGAATGACATTGTGAGTCTTTTCCCTGCCTCTCTGTCTATACCAGGTTGAGCTGAGAGCTGTCGATTCCTTACCACCCGCGGTTTCAGGGGGTTCTATGCTCTTCTCCCAGGAAAAAGGGGTGGATAGGCAGAGGCCTGGGGCTGCGGGGTGGAGGTTGGTTCTGTGCTCACCTTGGCTTCACTTTGTTTTTACCTTCCTTCCTGCAGTTTGCTATTGGCTCCCTGATGGATGATTACTTAGGTGAGTGCCTGATTATACGTGCCAGAGCTATTGCCTGGAGAAGGGGTGTGTAGGTGTGGGGAGTAATATAGGATTTAATGCCCAAATCAGAGAGGCAGAAGAAACTTTTATGCTATCTGCTTGGAAGATCCAGGACATGTGCCTTGGGATGAGAAGCTGTGGTTGCCCCCAAACTCTGGGTCTAACTGATTGCTTTTTCTGGTTTCACAGGGCTTGTAAGCTGAGCCTGGTGGCCTCCTACCCTTGGTCCTGATCTAGGAAGTGTGATTGTCACACTTACTGTGTTGTCCAGAGGTCCAGTCTGGCTGCTGTTGTGGAGGCAAGGAAGGCAACTCATCCCTGGAAGGTTCTTCTTTTGGCTTAGCTACTGCTTTCTGATTTTTCAGTACGTGTTCTATGTAAAAAAGCCCTTGGTTCTCATGGAAGTGTTACCTTTTTTTCTTTTTTTTTTTAAGCAGGAACAATAATTCTTTAAAAAGGCTGTGTAGTTGATTGCTTACTAGCCCCTCTTTTCCTTAGAATGATGCCTCTGCTAGCCTCAGCCACCAAGGGGATCTGACTAACCCGTTTGTCAGTTTAATGTTGACCTCATGGAAGTCAAGGCTCTGATGTTGGGTCTTTGGCTTCCAGCAAATGACACCATCATTAGTGGCATTCTTAGTCCTGATCTAATTCCAGAGTGTTTGCCCTTCTTCTGCCCTTAAAAGTAACCAAGAGTATAACTGGGAAAGAAGGGAGAAGAGACAGCAGACAGGGAGAGATGAACAAGAGGCTAGTAATGACACAGACTGTGGGATCTCAACACAGCCCTTCCTAAGATAGGTATCTAAACAACAGTGTATCACTATTCTAAACTGAACTGAAAATGTAAAAGGACCCAGAATCTAGTTAAGGTAACATAACAACGTATGAAATGCCTACAGGATTAAACAAACATGCCACTTTTCCCTGACACTATATCTCTGCAATACTATTTGTCTACCTTGGAATGCCCCTTCCCAGCTTCCTATCTACCCATCTATGAAACCTCAATTCAATTACGTTTTTTTTCTTTAGCTTTCTTTGACTTCCTTGGGAAACAGAGCTTTGTAGCAGAAAACAAGAAAGCATGGTATTTGCATTAGTAACAGAGCTGGTTTAAGTCTTAGCTGGACTCAGGAGGTTGAGGCAGGGGAATCACTTGAACCCGGGATGGGGAGGTTGTAGTGAGCTGAGGTCCCTCCACTGCACTCCAGCCTGGGTGACAGAGTGGGACTCCATCTTTAAAAAAAAAAAAAAAAAAAAAATCTTAGCTGGATGACCTTCTGTTTCCTATTATAAAATGGGCAGAAAACCCTCCTTGGAGGTTGCTGTATCAGAGATCATATGTTCAGGTGGCTGGCATAGAGCCTCGTCCATGATGGGCCCTCAACTGTTAATTGTAATAATTATTATATAATGCATATAGTAATGCATCCCAAAGCTGATACAGTGGTGTGTATCTGTAGTCTCAGCTACTTAGGAGGCTGAGGTGGGAGGATCTCTGGAGTCCAGGAGTTCTTTCCAAGTTCTCAAATAGAACCACCCATTTATAAGTGGTGCAGGGGAATAACACTGAGCCTGGAAGGAAGAGACTGATGGACAGAGAAGCAGCTCGTGGATCCGGAGCATGCGAGTGCTGGTGAGGATGTAGGGTGGGGCATCAAAAAGGCTGGCACTAATTAAAAAAAAAGAGAAAACATTGGCACTGTGTAGGGGAAGGGAGCAAGTGGGAATGGCCTGGAGATGGTTTCCAGAACTCTTCTGAGCTTTTAAGGTCAGTACTAAGTGAGTTGGAAAGTTAATAGCCTCTTAAAGAGGTCACAGGCTAATAGAGTACCATGTGCTTGCAACATGCTAAATCCTTTACACACATTTCTGAATCTCCACAACAGTTCCATAGAGTAGATTTTGTTATCCTGCTTTGTAGTTGATGAGACAGGTCAGACAGGTGAACTAATGTGCCTAAGGTCACAGAGCTAGTGAGCTGTGAGTCTTTAAAAAGGGTCTGGGCCTGGGGCAGTGGGTCATACCTGTAATCCCAGCACTTTGAGAGGCCGAGGTGGGCAGATCACTTGAGGTCAGGAGTTTGAGACCAGCCTGGCCAACATGGCAAAAACCCGTCTCTACTAAAAATACAAAAATTAGCTAGGTGTGGTGGTGCATGCCTGTAATCCCAGCTACCCAAGAGGCTGAGGCACAAGAATTGCTTGAACTGGGGAGGTGGAGGTTGCCGTGAGCCAAGATTGCTCCACTGCATTTAGACAGACCGTCTAAAAAGAAAAAAAAAAAAAGACCTGGCAATGTGGCTCATGCCTGCAATCCCAGCACTTTGGGAGGCTGCTGGTAGATCACAAGGTTAGAAGTTCAAGATCAGCCTGGGCAAATGGTAAACTTTGTATGTACTAAAAATATAAAATTTACAAAACAGCCGGGCGTGGTTTTGGGCACTTATGATCCCAGCTACTCGGGAGGCTAAGGCAGGAGAATCAGTTGAAATGGGGCATGGTGGTTCACGCCTGTAATTCCAGCACTTTGGGAGGCAGAGGCAGGTAGATACCTGAGGTTGGGAGTTTGAGACCAGCTTGACCAACATGGAGAAACCCCCGTCTGTACTAAAAATACAAAATTAACTGGGCATGGTGGCGCATGCCTGTAATCCTAGCTACTCAGGAGGCTGAGGCAGAAGAATTGCTTAAACCCAGGAGGCGGAGGTGAGCTGAGATCACACCATTGTGCTCCAGCCTGGGCAACAAGGGTAAAACTCCGTCTCAAAAAAAACCCGAAAAAAAACCAAAAAAAACAGGAGGCAGAGGTTGCAGTGAGCTGAGATCATGCCACTGCACTCCAACCTCGGCGACAGAGCAAGACTCCGTCTCAAAAAGTAAATAGAGGCTGGGCGTGGTGGCTCACACCTGTAATCCTAGCATTTTGGGAAGCCGAGGTGGGTGGATCACCTGAGGTCAGGAGTTCAGGACCAGCCTGGCCATCATAGTGAAACCCCATCTTTAAATAAATTTAAAAAAAAAAAAGAAAAAAGAAAAGTAAATACAAATAAAAATTAAAAACAGCCTGACTCCAAAGCCATCATAGTTCTTGCCAGGCACTGGGTGTGTGGAGCGAGCTACCTTTCTGGTCTGTGGCCATGAGGGTCAGTCACTGCCTTCCCTGGTCCCTGCCTGCACTCAGATTGGGAGCAAATGAGCGCCAGACCGGTTGGATACAGGTTCATTATCTCTAATAGGTCCCTGGCAGTTCCAGCCTCCCTACCATCTTCTAGTGTCTCCAGCCTCCCTACCATCTTCTAGTGTCTCCAGCCTCCCTACCATCTTCTAGTGTCTCCAAGGTTGCTGATGGTTGTCCAGATTAGTAAACCTAAGCAAGGAGAAGTGCCGGCAGCCCAGGTCTGCCTGAGCTGACTTCAGACTTTGTCAGACCTTAGAGGAGAACCCCCTCTCTCTTTCCCTTAATGCACAGGTAGGCAGACACTTGAAACCACTTGTAATGTGGTTCTGAATATGACTGGAAGACACTCAGCAGGGTCACAGTCTCCTCCGGTGGGGTTGTCATGGCAACTACGGTGGCATCCATCTGGCTTTGCTAGCTCGGGTTCCAGAGGATTTTCTTTTCCAGCGGCACCATCTAGCCCTGAGAGCAGGGAAGAGAGAGAATGTGTATACTCATGCTCCCTTAGTTCACCCTCTGTGAACTACCCCATCTTGGGTGAACCTAACAGAATTCACTGCATGCCTGCTGACATATGAGGGAAAGAAAGTTTAACCTCCAACTCGGCCAGGGACTCTCACAAACATTTATCTACCACAACCCTGTGAAGTGGGCATTATTACCCCATATTAGGTAATTTGCCCAAAAGGCAGTGTCAGATTTATTTATTTATTTATTTATTTAATTTTTTAATTTAATTTAATTTTTTTTTTTTGAGACGGAGTTTCGCTCTTGTTACCCAGGCTGGAGTGCAATGGCGCGATCTCGGCTCACCGCAACCTCCGCCTCCTGGGCTCAGGCAATTCTCCTGCCTCAGCCTCCTGAGTAGCTGGGATTACAGGCACGCGCCACCACGCCCAGCTAATTTTTTGTATTTTTAGTAGAGACGGGGTTTCACTATGTTGACCAGGATGGTGTTGATCTGTTGACCTCGTGATCCACCCACCTCGGCCGCCCAAAGTGCTGGGATTACAGGCTTGAGCCACCGCGGCCAGCACAGATTTATTTATTTTTTCCTTTTTTTTTTTTTTTTTTTTTTGAGACAGAGTTTCGCTCTTGTTATCCACGCTGGAGTGCAATGGCGCGATCTCGGCTCACCGCAACCTCCGCCTCCTGGGTTCAGGCAATTCTTCTGCCTCAGCATCCTGAGTAGCTGGGATTACAGGCACGCGCCACCATGCACAGCTAATTTTTTGTATTTTTAGTAGAGACGGGGTTTCACCATGTTGACCAGGATGGTCTTGATCTCTTGACCTCGTGATCCGCCCGCCTCGGCCTCCCAAAGTGCTGGGATTACAGGCTTGAGCCACCGCGCCCGGCCCTCCTTTTCCTTTTTTTTTTTCACCATGTTGGCCAGGAGGCAGTGTCAGAATTTTAACCCAGTTCTGTCTGATTCCAAATACCATCCTTTTTTTTTTTTTTTTTTTTTTTTTTTTTTTTTTTTTTTTGAGACGGAGTTTCGCTCTTGTTACCCAGGATGGAGTGCAATGGCGCGATCTCGGCTCACCGCAACCTCCGCCTCCTGGGTTCAGGCAATTCTCCTGTCTCAGTCTCCTGAGTAGCTGGGATTACAGGCACGCTCCACCATGCCTAGCTAACTTTTTGTATTTTTAGTAGAGACGGGGTTTCACCATGTTGACCAGGATGGTCTCGATCTCTCGACCTCGTGATCCACCCGCCTCGGACTCCCAAAGTGCTGGGATTACAGGCTTGAGCCACCGCGCCCGGCAATCCAAATACCATCCTTTACTTGCTAAGCCCGCTGCTTACCAATTGAGAACGGCCGAAGTCGCTGCTATCGCAGTGGGAGTCGGAGAGCGCTGTCAGTGTGCGTGTGCAACGGTCATGTAAGGGGAGGTAGGCCAGGGCTTATATTTGGTTCACAGGCGTGGGAAGAATGCGAAGTAGGTGCAGAAAGAGCAGAACCCTGGAGTCCGGAGCTTGCACGGGATGTTCGGTGCGATCAGAAGTCCCCTCTGCCTGCAGAGATCACCTACCGAGAGCCCCTTCTATCCCTCCAGGAAGGGGAAGTGACAGATAATGTTGGGGAGGAAGGCTGGGCAGGAAAACTCAGCGGTACACCAAAATCTAAAGCTTTGCCGCAGCAGCGAAAATGCAAGTGCTCAGAAACTCGGGAGCAAACAAGACCAAGAAAATGGGGACGCTGCCCTTGAGACTGTTT